ATCATATGTCAGGGCTGGCCTGGCCGTCATTCATTAATGCCTTTACCGAGACAATAAAGAAATAGGTATAAACAAGAATGTGAAGATGTCAAAGAAGATCCGAAGCAGGTGTGAACGCAGTTTTCGGGGACCAGCCCTTTGCCAGGGACTAGAGCATGCGATGAAACATGAGATGGAAGGAGGATAGAAGCAGAAAAATATGTCCAGTGTAAACCGCGAGCGGGGAAGTATACATGGCGAAACCTGTCGTAGAACGAGTCAGTACGGTCGAACCAGAATGATAATTAAACAGGATGTAGGTCCGACATACTACTTGCGTTTCTCAGCATCCTTCTGCTCCGAAGACGCGCCAGTCATATCCCACAGTCGGCTCTTGTAAGCGGGGAAGGAAGTGTGGTTCCACATGTTGAAGAGGACGCTATGGGGAAAACATCGGGTCAGTCGGCGCTAACAAGCAAGGGCGGGAAAGGAACAGCAAAACAGAACATACCTCTGGGTCCGGTCCTTGTAGGCCTCGTCTTTGACCTCCTTTACTTGCACTTTCATGCCATCTCTGGTGAAAGCAATATTCTTGCGCTCCATCTTTTCGCGCGTGTTTTTGCCTACATCCTGCACGATGCTGTAGACGATGAATCCGACCGCGGCAACAATGCCAACAAAGACGAGGAGCAGGATGAGGGGAAGGAGATTGCGGGCGCCCATGGTGGGGTTTGTTTATCGGAGTGTTGGAGGGTAGTAGTCCAGTGAGTCGAGAGGCGAAGATCCGAGGATTAGGGTGGAATCAGGGGAAGAAAACGGGGAAGACAAAAAAGCAATGGACTATATGCCAAGAATAGGTGTCTTGTAAATAGTTGCAGCCTTCGGTCTTTTTCTAGGCACGGTTGCTGCCTGGAGTGGACCTGGATGGTTTTTGCACAACAGGAATGCTGTTGAAATTCCAATGGGGGAAGGCTGAATATGTGAACCTGAGACTCGGGGGGGTTAAGACCTCTTTGTGTTTCAACGCCTGATTTTAAAGTAGAAAGTGACGTTTGATTCGAGGGGAAATGGCTCGCATCGTGGCTGTGTCTGAATGTGGCTTCCAAGCCCACTCCAGCCCTAGAGGGCTTAGCCACTTGCTGAGTCATTTCTTATAGGCCCCGGTCCAGTCCTGGCATTTTTGAGGTTAATTTTAGCTCAAAATCAGATCTAGATATACTTGTGTAGTTAATCGGATCGGTTTGATATACAACATACAGTTGTATGTGTTGTTATCTTTGCTTGCTATCGCTATGAAGATCACGATCACCTCTATTACCCCCACTACTACCTAAAACAGGATGATCTTGATCTCATCTGCGTCATCATGATAGAATCCAAAACTCACGACTACAACGTAAATGGGCGGTGAATCTTCGGTCCTTCTTTTCTTTGAGATAATCTGTCTGGGGTATCTCTTTACATATTCTAGTTCATGACCTAGCAGCCCAGCCAAATCCGACACGATGTGTGACGTCCCTTTCTTTCCGATCTTCCCTGTCTGCTTCCAATGCGGCACTGACCAGAACCCATGTAACTGCAAGGTGGTTGGCCCGACACTCGGTAAGTTCGGTTCTTTGTGGTATGAATCGCTGGAAAATGAGCCCATGCCTGACGAAATGAACAGGGTTTCTCTCTACTATTGTTGCAGCAGTAAGTAAATATAGTATATTCTCGGGCGACAGCATGGAGACTCTCTTGCTTGACTCCAGGCTCATGACAACCTTTTCTTTTAGGTCTTCTGCTACCCCCTATCGATCTTCTGTGGTTGCGGCTGCACTCAAGCTGGAAAGGAGTATGTCTTGCTGTCCTGCTACTTCTTGATATACAGACTAACAAATAATAGCATGCTGGGATTCCCTGTCAAAGTAAATCGGAAAGTCAGTAATGCCATTCCGATATGAGTTTAGGAGCTAGGCGCTTGGAATATATTCGAAGGCCGTTTAGTTGTATCTAATCATTTTATCCCAATGTTGTATTGATACCATGCGCTTGATACAGCCCAGTACCATTTTGGGGGGATGTTTTTCGTACAGGATTTCTGCCCACGTACTTATAGAGAGACCTTTCGTTTCGTTCCTTTCTTCATAGAGTCGCAGAGCATAAATGCTCAAAAGCTATTAGTAACATTACATTTGGCGATTAAAAAAATTATAACTAGCATATACTGCGAGAAAGAGAACTGGATGTCCCGAAAATAATCACCTTTCCTGTCCAGAATATCCCCGAGACATAACTAGGTGGAAGTCTTGTTGGGAGCAGGCAGATAATCCGCAGAGTATTCATCAGCTTCATCATAGTCTTTCAATTCCAGTCTTTTCAAGAACCCCCCTTCCACCAAATCTAGCACAGTGGACTGAGCCAAAAGTTGCGATCCAAATCCGGGCTGCTCAAACCAACCCGCAACGGGTCCCAAGAGAATATCGAATGCCTTGGTCACCTCGTAGACATGGTAGTTGTACGGGAAGCTGCTGTTGGGTGGTGCAAAAAGATTGGATGGTGGCAGGGACCGCTCGATATATGGTGCTCCAAGGGGTGCTAGGAACTTTCCATATTCAGACCCGAACCTATCAAGTTTCTGGCCCACGCGGAGTGTGATATTCCCTAGAATCGACACATTCTCGGATGTTGTGGCAAATCCGTCGAAGTCTGGATAGATCCAGTAAGCTGTTGGGTCGGAAGCGTTCAAGGTCCATTTCTCCAGGAACTCGACTGGGCAAAGCTCGCCGAAGCGGGAGTATGTCTCGAGCTCATTGGAGAGAGGGAAAAATTCAGGGAGGTCCTCGGGACCAAGTCGTGGGTCACCACAAACAGCAGTAGAGTTCACGTAGGTCACCCCTTTACAGGGATCGGGATAGCATCTTTCTGGGTAATCTGGCTCCTAAGAAGTGTGAGCATCGAATATTCTAAATTCTGCGATATCGAAAAAAATATAGGGTATTAGGGCTGACCTTGTTTGTCTTATGTCTGATAGGCGTGACGAAGGACGCGGCTTCTGCTAGAGCAACTGAAAGGACCACACTTATAGTTGAGAGATGCATGGTGAAAAGGAAATGTATCCCTGATAATCTCTGCCTGGATGCTGCCCGAAGAAAGGAGATGGACTCATTAATATAATTCAAAGTGCCAGGGAGGATTTATCTTCAGATCTCGCGATCTACAGCGCTATTCAAATCATACACCTAAGCTATGCAAACATATGGATCTGGCCTATTGTTTCCCTTCGGAGGGTTAGCCACGCTCCCCTTTGAGCTCACTTCATTCCAATCGGCATCCGGTATCCTTCCCCTTGCTACTCTACTCGGGTATCATCACCCAATTTTTAGGCTGGCATTTCTGAAAACTCCAACATATCATACTCCCAGGGTAGGACAAGGTCCAACAGAATGGCCTACACTATGTTGAATGTTTTGCAATCCCTCTCCATACCTCGCGCAACTCATCCAAATACTCTTTCTATTACCCTAACGGAGTACTGCAAGGTACTAAGATGGAAGTGAATGAGATGTGATGAAACGTCGTATTGACAATCTGAGCTTGGAATGCTCTAGACACAATTAACTCCAATCATTGCGTATTTGAGAGTCATTTTCTCGTATACCTATTCAAATAACACGAGAAATATGGGGCACCTGAAGAAGTCAGCTGCGTTAGCTGAGCTATCAGCCCCGGAAATATGCAGGCAGATGCGCATAACTTCCTATTTAGGAAAATAAGAAACAACCTGCCTCGTACCCTTTACCCCATACTTCGCACCTACCATTGATTTGCTTATCTTCCCGACAAAGAAAACTTCATTGCTCGTGTTATTATAACAGTCTTCCAGTCAATTTGTTTCTTCCAATCCGATAACGTGTGATTCCCTTGTCAGCTATCATCGGTTCGGATTATTTCGCTTGTCCTTGCATTCTATCTCAAACCGGGCGAGTATGGAGCTAGAGTAAAGGAGTAATATAAATCAATCAATTATGCATCACACATGCGGGTGATAGGGCATGAGCATGAATTTGCTCGGCCATGAGATTCGAGACTCACGCCTTGGCAGGCTTGCAGAAGATGATTTCTTTCACAAAAGTTGAGAGCTGAGATCGGATTGTCGCGTGACCAATTGCAAATCTCCAAGGGATAGATTTAGCTTTTACAGGTTCGGTCACTATTTGCTCTCAAGCAGCTTAACGCTAGTGGAATCACTTATGCATCAACTTGATACGTCAACTTGCCTACATGTGCAGGATTGATTGCGATGAATGCCCCTTCTCTCCCAGCGATTATGATCCCACCCTGTATGGAGTATTTCCCTCGAAAAGAAATCGACCCCCTATAGGGCCACTTGGTTTCTCCACAAATATAGGTTAGCTGCGTGATGTCGAGACTGCAATACTCGGGGGATTTTCCAATAGTCCTACCGATCGGTACAGGTTACAACCCAGCAATTACAATATGGCACAACTGAAGCCTTGAACAATACATTCTAAGCTCTGATATTGCTATTTGCTATCTACAAAAGCCCCTTCCACTCCACCACCACAATCGACATTATCCCTCGCCCTTTGTTTGGGCTTGCCGGAGTCCAGTCCTTGAATGTACCAATCTCCACAACGTTGTTCTTCTCAAGTACTCTCGCGCTCCCTGTATTCCCAACAAAAAAGCTGCCTTTAAGAAGATGAAGATTCATCCGAGGGATAGCCCAGTCTTGAATGACAGTTCGAACAGCAACACTCGTAACTCCTCGGCTGTGTTGAGTAGGAGAAAGATAGTCCGTCAACACCGTCAGCAATCGAGCCCGAGTCTCACTGGGGTGTTCATACATCCTATACCCCAGGTGATATCCTTGTGCCCCGCGGGCAAATCATTATTTTGTTGCTGTGCTAGCGCACGTTCTGGGCTATCGGGTCGCAACTCATAGAAAGCATACCGCGCGAGTGAGATCTCTCCAATCAAGACATCTCGAAGCGGTGCGCCGGTAGCAGGATCTCTTTCTGTTACTTCGCGTATGCAGACGAAAGGACAATTATCAAAGAACTCTGGCTCCTCTTTGCATTTAAACCGTCGCCCTGCTGAATTTGCGATGCTTCGAATTCTTTTTGCAGAGTAGACAGCAGTTCTTCGTTCTCTGCTATTTTCGTTTTTACCCAGTCCACGCCGTGCTCGGGCAGAAAAGAGGAGTACGCATGTGAATCATTGAGAATTTCGGTCATGACAGCAGATGTCTCCTCAATCTGGTGTTCACGGTATGGAGTGATGATGATGTTTGCGCATGGAGTTGGAGATAGGGCTCTTTAGTGAGCGGGCTGTAGTGGACAGCCATTTTCACACAACCTCGACTAATTGTAGAGCCTCAATTGGGATATCTATACTGATTCCAGAGGTTAACTTTATATAGGCTTGCGTTTTAGCTTCGCGGGGCTCCTTGATATCTTTGTGAGTCACTCGGCAAATGAGGGCTAATCAATTGTAGGCAACGCTATTGTTAGCCCGATGATACCTTGTACGGAGCAGACAATTTGATGACCTCAGCCTCTTCGCTAGCCACTGTCCCTCTTTTGTTCCAATAGTCCGTGCGAGGATATCTTGCCCGAACCCACACGATGTGACTCAGAACGGCATGCAAAGCATGACTAGAAATACTCTCGCCCTCTCGCCCTCACGATCTCACAACAAACTAATTACGCTACGGATGAATATACATGCCATATACAACTGTGGGCTCATCTATCCGGAGGTGGCAACTAGACTGAGCGATAGCCCTAGCAACAGCAGTGGGGATGATCAGAGCAAGAAAAATCGGGGCAAGGTTCCAAGGCAGCCGATTAAGACTACCCCTGCTACCACAACGTCCTGTAGGAATTCACTGGAATCCAGATAGCAAAGCACAGAAACACACATCGCTGTGTGTAGACAAGTCGGCGAGGAAGTACTGCTAGCATAGATAGAACATTCGAGGCAAAAGAGGCATACAATATCTGGGTGCATTTGTATGTGGGTAGTATCAATTAGACAGTCTGGCGAGAAGGTTCAGAAAATGGGAGCGTTTCATAATGTTCTATTATACATAGACCCCGCCAGGTGCCACCGCCATGTCAAAACGGCATTGTACTTCCGCTTGGGTATATTAATGTTAATTTGCCGGCACCCGGCTGGTCAATTGCTCCAGACGCCCTGCCAAGGCTCGATGTTTGCGCATGACCTCCTCCCATTCGTAGGCCATGTCTTCGGTATCTTCCTCCTCGCCCAGCTCGGTCAAAATCATGCCAAAGTCCCCGCCAAGGCGACCAAGACTTGCGGCACAGTACAAAAGCTGGGTGAGAAGACTTTCCCTCGAACTCCGATCTCGGACGTTGGGAAGATAGGAGCGCATTGTATCCGTGAGCAATTGCACGAGATGCAGAGGGAAAGTAGCCAAAGCCGGGGGGAGACGTTGCAGGGGGTCATCTGAGTGTGCTGGCTTTGACTTGGCCTTGGAGTGGGCGTCTGCACCTCGTAATCCTGAGATGGCAAACTCCGTGTCGGATTGCTCAGAGTTGAAAATATTCTTGTATAACGAGACAATTGCAAAGCTCTGCTCACGGAATATCTCAATGTATCTTTTTAGGTAGCGGTCAGTCTGCTGACCGCCAGACCACGAGGTCGTATCTGATTTGTCTTTGCCACTGAGTCTCCGTTGGGTTTCTTGGTCCGCGAGTTCGCGGAGAGGATCCAGAGCTTCAAGTGTTGATACCAAATGCGCTAGTCTGCAGACCAGGAAGATGGCCCCAAGAGCGCCTTCTCCTGTCCCGACTGCCCCATCACTCTGAATCATATCTAGATCCGGGGCTACTCGCCGCAGCCAACCCACAGTTCGGATACCAGCTGCTAGCCGCAGGTTCTGGGTTCGAAGCCCCGTGATCAGATTACTTGTCATGTCCTTCATAGCATCCTCCGCCTGAGATGCAACATCTTGAATCAATGGTGATTCGGGGTATAACGTTTGTAGTCGCTTGATATGTGCATGTAGGTCGAGTGCAGAGGAATAGGTTGTAGAGGAGACACCGGTACCGGAGTTGACTGAGGCCGCGGAGACGGCTTTGGACAGCAGACCTGGTAGTTCCAAGATATCTGACAATCGATCGACATTACGAGAGAGCTGCATCGCTTTCTTCCGTCGCTCTAGTGCGGCATTGTCTGTGATTTTACTGTATTTGGTGGAGAACCCAACGGCCTCCTCGTCGAGTTTAGGGATAGCATCGCGTAGCTGTTGCGCCTCGCGGGTCAACTGGGGGACAGAGGTACATAGTGTGGACAAATTATCGGCAGAGTTGACAAATGCTCGATGCGAACGGTTCGATAGGGCTTGAAGGGACAGAAGTGTTGAGTGGGAGGATTGGGCGAGCGATGGGGGTTCTGTGGTCTGGAGAGCTTCGAGTGACAAGGTTGAGAGGCGAGTGAGATACTTGTCAGTAGTTATATCATGCGATTGAGTTGGGTGTAGATGTGGAGCAAGTAGCTCCAACAAGTCGGCCATGGCGGGTTGATGCTATTCGGAAGTTGCGTAACAGAGGCACGCTGAATGGATCACCCCGTTGGCCCGTGCGGGTCAGTTGTATCTCCGACTGGAATCAACTTTTTCTTTGCTTTTCTGAACTTCTCTCTTCCAAACTGTTGTCCGCTTTAGATAGACGGATATTTCCGTTCTTTTATTCTTTTCTTTTCCCCCGGTCGTTGTCCTTCTTACTGCAAATAGGATACTTCTACTAGCCCCTCCCCCGCATTCGCAACCCATTATATTCCCCATGACCCTTCCACCATGGGGAAGCCACGGGTAAGTCACCATTTCTGAGTGACTGAGATGTATCTTAGCTTAAGCTGACCCTTTCCCTACTTATAGATGATCATCTTAGTTCGCCATGCACAGTCAGAAGGCAACAAAAACCGCGATATCCATCAAACTATTCCAGACCACCGTGTGAAGCTCACTGCTGAAGGATATCGACAAGCCCAAGATGCAGGGCATCGACTACGTGACCTCCTTCAACCCGACGATAAACTTCACTTTTTCACTTCCCCTTATCGGCGGACAAGAGAGACTACCGAGGGAATTATTCAATCCCTAACCTCCGATACACCCTCTCCTTCGCCTTTCTCAAGACACACAATCAAAGTTTATGAAGAACCCCGGCTGCGGGAACAAGATTTCGGTAATTTCCAGCCATGTTCCACAGAGATGGAGCGCATGTGGATGGAGCGGGCAGACTACGGTCATTTCTTCTACCGGATTCCCAATGGTGAATCCGCAGCAGATGCTTATGATCGAGTGAGTGGATTTAACGAGTCCCTCTGGCGCCAGTTTGGCGAGGATGACTTTGCAAATGTGTGCGTTCTGGTTACGCATGGCCTCATGGCACGAGTGTTTCTTATGAAGTGGTATCACTGGAGTGTGGAATACTTTGAGGACCTTCGTAACATCAATCATTGCGAGTTCCTGGTCTTGACCCACAACCCAGAAAACGGCAAATACACACTTCAGAACAAGCTTCGGACCTGGTCAGATCTGCGAAAAGACCGAGAGCGTGAAAATGCATCCAAAGAGCAGGTCCCTGCGCCCGCCCCGTCTGCTGGTCATAGCCTCGCAGACCATATCCCAATCCGACGCAAGTGGGGCGGCTGCCCGGACGGCTGTATGCATGGCATGACTGCAGAAGGAAAACAATCGTTGCGAGCGAATCTATTGAATTCCATGCGTCACGAGCATGGCTACGCTCAACCAAAGCATGCCGATGACCATGTAGGCAGTTTTGGCTCCAAACTTCACAAATCTATATCCATCGACGATGTGGTATCGTCCTCGGAAGACAGTTCGGCCTTGAATGATACCAGCCACAAACCCAGCGCTCGGCACGTCTCCAACCCGCAGCGCAAACTTCGCGACAATGACAACGGAGACACCACAAAGCAATATGATTCTAGCTTAGAAGCCCGGCCAACCGTGAATCCATTACATCCAAAACGAGCGAACTTCCATGGGCTGAACCGAAATAGTGAAGACCATCTCCCCCACCTACCAACAGCTACATCTTCATCATCAGCACACCTAAAGTACGCCCTCCTCCACCTTGGCGGCCGTGACGGCGGAGGCTCGATGAGCGGCGCAAACAGCCTCGCCCCATCCGACGACGAAGGCGACGACCACTCTCACCACCGTCACACTGCACCACGATCTCCTGGCCTCGCCACTGGCAATTTGTCCCATGCGAACCATCACCACTTCGAATTTCCGTCCAGCGAGCAAACTCAACAGCCAGCTATCTCCCAGGAGCTTGAAGATGACGGCGACGATGAGATGAGTGGCAATCGCACTGAGAAATTAAAGAAAACTCGCCTGCACCATCCCCATAACCACCACCACTACCATCACCACCATGTTTCTTCTACCGACCAATCCGAGCACCGCATGGCCAACATCCTAGGCGATGGAGACGAGTCATCTAACCACTCAGAAACACAGACGGGAGGACAAGAAAGTTCGTCAACAGATTCCCCATCTCATCTCCACATCGAGGAATTACCCTTAGAAGAGCAACAAAAGCAAGATCAGAGCATCCAGGGGAGCGTCTACTAATACTGTTCCGGTTGCTTTCGTTGATGCCTTGAATACTTTACGCGTCTGCATAATTCTCATTCTCCTTTGCTAGTTGTCGTTTCTCTCTTATCCGCATCTACTCTTACGACCCGCGACGACTGTTTGCATGAATTTTGATTACCCCCTAGTTCAACTGCATTTTTATCTATGTCTTATGTCAGCCCGATGGCCCTTTTCCGGTGTTAAGCTAGAATCCAATTCTATCACAAAAATTATTACGAGATCCGAGTTATGGTTCATTAAATATCCAAAAGGGAACTGCCATATAACCCAAGACGTCACCGAAACTAGCAGTAGACAGAGAGTAGGGGCTTACTGCTTTAATAGGATATACTACTCAAACAGAAGATACGAGGGAGATACGAGGGAGATATTGATACAACCCCTAGGACAAAACACCAAAAGTTTGTAGCCCCGACAAAGACAATAGTTTGCCGCTAATTCAGTGGTATATCTTCAACAAAACTGGGGGTCAATAGCCATAACCACAGCCACGGACGCCAGTTTCCAGGTCAACGCATGACCAATGGAGATGAGAAATGTGACGGCCCTGGCTCGCCTGCAGGACCAAATAGCAAAGGGCAGATGTATGGAAGCAAGCCAAGAGCATGCCAAATTCAGGTGGATTACAAAAAAGGTCAGTCCAGTTGCAGGGATTGACTGGACTCTGAGATCAAACAGAAGATGCATCGAGGGTACCGATATCCCCCGGATACACGCGAAGATGCCACGGGGAGAAGAGACCCCAAGACCAATCGTTTGCCATTTATGTCACAAGTGACGAGAGGCGAGAGCGATGAAATACATCATGTGGCTTAGAAGGGTTGGAAAGGATCCTTGAAATGTTGATCTCATTGATTGGAGAAAAAAGGTTCATCAGAGAAAGACAAAAACAAATCGAAGGAATCGAAAGAAAGAAAAAAAAAAAGTTAATGGTCAATTGAAGATTTGATATGAGAATTTAAAAAAAAAAAAAAAAAAGATTAACGTCGGGCACTGCATATAGCGTGGCGAATGGGAATAATGTACCGAGATGAAATGGAAGTGAAAAGAAGAAAGGAAGCACTCTATGGGTAATCACCGCGAGACTCAAATGCCAAGCATAAAACAAAAGGACCAAGGATATAAACCGAAGTCGTGGGTAATAAACAAAGAAGTCAGATTTTGGGGATTCGTGATAGTCGTGACTGCGGCGCCGGCAACCTTCGCAGTGAAATATCAAGACCCAACAAAGAGACTTAATATAAAACTCGATGAAATCGAAGTCAATATCAATATAACAGGTGTAGTCGAGATTTTGCATCGGGGCTTGCCGGGAGCATGCCAATGTTCGCTGTGGGAGCGTTTTTTCCTCCTTTTTTTTTCCATTTTGTGAGATTTTTTTCGCTTTGCCAAACGAGAACCAGCGGACGCAGAACAGAAGTACTTTTTGGAGACGCGGTAGGCCAATTGCTCAGAAGCAGGCGAAAGTCAAAGGAGGCAAAAAGGTCGAAAGGCGCAAGGATGAAAACAATTCAAGTGGAAGAAGAAACGGTATTGAAATAAATCCCATGCGAATCGCCAAAACGAACGTTTAGAGAAGTCTAGAGTTGCAGTAAGAAGAAATCCAAAGAGGCATCAAGACTCGTGGTCTTGAACCGTTGACACCGTCTGTTCCATCCGGGGACATGGGCAGAACATGCCAAATCGCATCAACTAGGTTGCGATCATCGGCTGCTGCATGGAGGGGAATGCATTGTTGCACATGTAGTGCTCGAGATGCTTGGCACAGTAAGTGCAGCCGCACGACGAACCATGACCCGTCCAAAGACTCTGCGCGAATGGCAAGCCGTACGCCGGAGTGTGGTGGTAGGATGGGGGCTGGGATCGAGGTGCAGGGTGAGCCATGTACTGTGAGGGTGCGTTCCAGCCTCGCGAGTAGGGCGGAGGCGGAGGCGGGTTGGCGTAACCCCAAGGGCCAACTGAGTAGTAGTCAGGGGTAGTGGGGCCGCTAGAAAGGGTAGAGGGAGGCGAGTATTCGGACGCGGTCGGGTTGAGCCAGGAGTTCTCAATTTGCGAGCTGCGCTGGTACTGCGGCGGGATGGGGCCTTCGGGGGACATAAGGGGCTTGGTGACAGCCTGGCCGCGGATCACGTTAGTCTCGAGAGGCGCCAGAGTCTGGCGAGACTCCTGAGCCCGAGCCGTTGCCTTGGCCCGCCAAGTATCCCAGTGCGCGCGCCACGAAGCGAAACCATCCTGCTTGTCGTAGATGCGGTCGTGAATCTTCCAGTCGAATGCGAAAAGCCAGTCTAATTCCATGTGGTTCAACTCAGCAACGGGGATGTTGCTAACCTCAGCCCAGGATTTATTCTGGAAGGTATTGTCATCGAGGAACTTGCTGCCCAACAGAAGAGCCACAGTCAACATGCGATAGACCTGGCTACTGTCTGTCTTGGTGAAGGCGCGTTTGGATGACAACAGGCGCACACGGCTGGCCAGATAGAAGAGACCGAGCAGAATGGTAGAACTTGGGAGGCGTGTCGAGGACAAAATCTGAAAGACGTATTTCCGAAACTGGGGGGGAACCGAAGATCCTGGGTAGATGCTTCGCACGAGGTCAATATCTGCAATGGTGATGTTGGTCTCGAACAAATCATACATTCCCTGAGCCATCTCTGCCACAAAGTCGGACATGCGATCCATCTCATAATCCAGGTGAGCTGCAACACCTCCAGTTGCTTTCTCCTCCTTACGGGGTTGTTCGGGCTGCTGTTGCATCGGGGCGGCTTCCTGTCGACGGTATTGAGGCGGCATCGTAGCATCCATGGGCGGAAGTTGGACGTTGCTGCGGATTGAGGGCAATCCCGTGCCAACCATGGGGTTGAACATGGGCTGCTGGTTCATCATGTGATGATCGCGAGCAGTGTTCATCAGATGGGCGGACTGGGGGTGGAGATTCATCGAAGTGGGTTTGGCGTAGCATATAGACTGCGAGTACTGTTCGATGAACTCATTGCCGCTTTGGTGGTAGCGAGGAGGGAATCCTGCGTGACCAACTGGGTAGAATGATGGGTCTTCCATACGACCACCGTTGACATGGGGAGGCGTAGGCAGGCCATGGTGGCCTGGGACGAAGAAGGACGGCATCTTGAGAAGGGGAGGCGCAGTCACCAGTTCAGGACGGGGAGCTAGACGTATTCTATTGCCAGGAAAGGCGAGGAATCAGCACACGAGGCCTCCGGGATAGGCAAAAGCCAGATGGACCGAGAGACAAGAGGTTAAAGAAACGAGGAGACGAACCGTCTACTCCACCAGATCCTGATCCTGGGAGGGAAGAGGAGAAGAGCGGTGCTCGGCGAGCGGATCGCTCTTTCGTATTCCTATGAGGCAGTCTCTAGTTGAATGACATTGAGGTGCGTTCAATGATCCAAAGGACAAATGAGGGTAAAGGAGAATTGGAAGGAGCGTGAACGGGTGAACAAGACAGAATTCTCTCTTAGAGTGTCGAAATTGACGTAGCCTGGGAGGAAAGGTGATAGATCACTACCCAGTCAACTCAAAAGTGCTTTGAGAGGCGAATAACCAGGTCGAAGCGAAGCGGAAGAGCCCACGTAGTGAACTGAACGCGCTGGGAGAACGAAGAGCACCGGTGGAAGAAAAAAAAATTCCCCACACGTAGACGCAAACCTCACAGAATGAGGTGATCAACGACACTTAGTGAAAAGCTCGTTGACACGGGAGAAGGTTGATACAAAAAAGAGGTTGGGAAGAAGGATGAAGAGAAGAAAAGTGTATAGGGGCGTTGTGTGGGAAAAGGCCGTTGGGTTGCCCCGGTAATTTTACATGTATTTGGTATACAGGGAAGGAGTCACTCGGCCCACATATGGAAATTCTAAATTTAAAGAAAAGTGTTTCGCACAGTATGTCTCTAGTACTATGTATCAAATAAATTAGCAGGCTTCTACCTACAATGTATGTTGTAGAAATAATGATTGGATGTGAATTTGGTATTATATTCAATTTTTATTGGACTTCCTCGATCCTCCCTTTTTTTTCTTTCTTTTTCTTTCTCTTTTTTTTTTGTTCACTATAAAATTCTATCCGGTATTTTCCTGAGACTTTGGAACGTGCACAGTGCAGATAATTGTACTATATGTAGTGTGATTGTACTGTAATTTCACTGTCAGGTTGTCCATAATAGTAAAGAAAAAGGGCCCTAGACCCTTGAGGTAAACCGGTGATGCAACCCCCGTGTCACCGGTTCTCACTGGTTCGCACTGGTATTGTATTGAGCTTTGGCAAAAAAAAAAAAAAAAAACTAAAAAACTAAAAAAAGGTCTCACCACTACTTTTCGGGCCCTTAGTAAGCTCAGTTATATTTCAATTCTAAGGTTCTGTTTTAGAAAGATTGAATAGTGAATAGTAGAATAGTAAATAAGTGTCCATTAAATGGCTACCATTATTATATCTATATAAAAAAGTAGTACATTGTAAACATCGGATGTCGCATTCCCTCCGTTGCTCCGTCTACAAAAAACCCCCTACGTAGTGCTACGGAAATGTTCATCCGGACTCTTCCATACCCACTCCTTATGAACAAACGTACTCCAAATATGTACAACTACAGAGTATGGAGTATATACAAAATAGGCACTAGAACCAACAAACTAACATCCTTACAACTGTCGTCGGATCATTTACTCTTATCCCTCGACATGCAATCACACGCGCCCATTACCCCGTACAACCAAGCAAGGGCAACCGAAACCATGCATCTGACAAGCACTCCATCTAGCATCCTCCCTACCTCTTTTCTCTAGTCTCTCTGACATGTCAGACACACTTTAACTGGCCACCTAGGGAGGCACCGGGGCTCTGACTCACCGTAGACAACTCCACCCTCAAGAACCTGAGTGTTGATCTCTGCAGCCTGCATCCTAATACGGAGTAGCGCCATGATGGATGCATGGCCAGGTGTACATAAAGTGCTCCATCCATGTACTTGCTCTTGGAGGCAAAGACAAGTGTCTTGACGGGTATCTATCTGAGCTGACAGCCCTTCAATATTTATGTGCCTATCTGCTTAAAAGGCGCATACATCTACCAAAAAAAAAAGTCCTGCACATATTAAACTTATTTCTCTGAGAGGGGCCTAGAAATACATTATTAATCTTTAAATACTTAAAATACTTAAATACAACAGGCACCAAAGACCGTGCGTACTAATACATTCTAGAAAAACTAAGTCCCTCGGACCTCGTGCCTTGCCATGCTCCATTTTCGATGCAGTTCCTCCGATTCTTTCAAGGTACCACGACCTAGATGTACATATAGTACCTGCCTACATACCTTGCACTACTGATGCGATAGTTACAGCCAATATAGATAATAAATACACCACTAAACCTATAGAATATAAAAAAGAAAGGGAAAACCGGATTACAGGACCAACGATGCCCGACCGGCTACATTCGGCAGCTTTTTCCCTGAAACAAAACATCTCCATATTTCCTAGCTGCACTATATGATTCAAATACAACACAGGGAAATCCCCAAACTGTAATTTCCCCCTCAAACCCCGTACACTAAGGGAAAAGTCGGAAAATCCGGCGGCAAAAACACCCCTCCTTGTTTTCTGAGGGCGGGGGAGGCGAACAAGAGGACACAAGTACATATGTTGTACAAGATTAATGGATTAATGACCTCGGGAACCCTATATCATTTGTCATAATCGTGGTTTATCGGCCCTTGTTTCTCACCATTTCTGTTTCGGGTTATTTATACATATGCCGATATTTTATATAGCTGAAGTATAGGTGGCCGGTCTGCCAATGTGATTGGTATTTTACTATGCTACCCCCAGCTGAGCGTTTGTGCTTTTACGTCAGGTGTCCAGGTCATGTATGGATAAAAATAAAAATAAAAATAAAAATAAAATAAGATTCACAAGTTGAAGGGTTCGATACACTGCCTCTAAATGGGCTGAGAGCCCGCCAATGAACAGAATATCGAGGGGCAACCAATTAGACAGGTATACAAGCCTTTAGTATAAGCAGAGGAATGTCGTTAATCTTCAAATGTTCCAAACATGTCGCAAAACAAAACAATAAGCCTGCTATTGAACGGTATTTTGAAGGCTCAATCAAGCTTATACGTGTAGGCAAACATAAAAGTTTTACTGGGCATATTATATGATTTAGGCTATGTCCTCGACAAAATACCAAAATCCATTATAATCCATATCAAAAATATACAGGGAAAGAGATATGTAGTACTCAGAGGTAAAGCGCGAGAGCGGCACCAGCACCAAGAGCAGACAGGACGCCGGAGACAGTGAGGGAAGAAGCACCGTTGAACACAGGTGATACACTTGCTGAGTTGCTGCTTTCGGTGATAGAGCCTGAACTTGTGTTTGCACCTGCGCCTGCACCTGCGGCAGTAGGAGAGGAGGCTGTGATGGGGGAAACTTTGGCCGTGGCTGAGTGGATGCCGATGAGGCTTGAAGGTATAGTTGAGCTGATGCGTGTGTATGTGATACTGGGCAGGCTGGAGAGATGGCTGGAATTGTTACCAGCGGAGACGCTAGAACTAGAGCTAGAGCTGATCGAGCCTTCACCTTCACCCTCGCCCGCCGACACCCCGGAACCAGGTACGTTCTTACCAATGTAAGAAACACCAGTCTCACTAACAACACCTCGGTCGGTAGTAGTGGTGCCTGTGATGGTGGTAGCAGAGTACGCAGTCGAGATGTTTGTCACAGTGCCAACAACAACGGTCGTCGTCTGCACGGGAACAGACGATGTGTGCACTGCACCGGGTACTGTGGTGGTAACGGCGGTGTTGACGGGGACCAAAGTGGTACCAGCAACGACGGTCTCTATCGTGACGTGTGTCGTCTGGTCGTGGGCTGGGCAGTCGGTCACTGTTGCCGGGCACTGGGTTAGGGTTACGGTTCTGGTTGAGAGGATTGTTGAAATTGTATAGTCGTTGCCGTTTCCAGAGTTATGGCCGTTGTCACTTCCAGATGGGCCGGTAGGGCTGGATCCCTCGGCAGTGGTAGTTGCGTCTTCAACAGGGCAGACGGTGGTTGAGACGATGAGAGTTTCGGTTGTAATGCGAGTTGTCTTGTCGGTAGCTGGGCAGTTGGTGATAGTCGAGGGACAGGCTATGATAGTCGCAGTGCGGGTGGTGAAGATAGTAGAGGTAGTCATATCCGGCGTAGGGGTTCCAGCTAGGGAGGAGCTAGTGGGCTCCACGGAAGCAGGAGTTGTTAGTGCGGCGGACTCGGAAGATGCTGATACCTCGGGGGTTGAGGCTGAGGACTCGGTGGCGCTACTGGAGGCGGGGTTTGCGGGCCCGGTGATAGTAGTGGTCAAGGTGATACGGCCTACGGTGCTACTTGGCGATGCCGAGGAGACGTGCGATGAAGATCCCGATCCCTCGGAACTGGAATGGTCAGATGGGAAGACAGAAGAAGCGAGCGGAGCGCTGGTAGCCACAGGTGAGCCCGATGGCGTCTTGGTAGGGACCGGCACGCTGGTTGAGGTGGATGAACCACAGCTCTCCTCGAACGAGACGTTGTTCACATCCACTGTTGCACCCGATATCGCCGCATCAGGGCAATCAATTAGGATGAACATGTCAACTTCGGAACTAACAGCCGTCCATTGCCTGGAGATGGTCTTCCAGGAACCGGCTGTGAGAGTGCTAGTGCCAACATCTGCACCATTGAGCAGGAGATTCACAGCACAAGTTGCACTATCAACACCTGAGCCAGCTGTCTGGCGGAGATCGAAAGAGACAGTATAACTCTCTTCTGTAACGGTGCCGGTAACTGTCTGGGCCAACAGGGTCTGCGATTGGAGAGCTTCGGCACTCAGATGCCTATCACAAAATTCGAGTCAGTTCGTACTCTGCAAAAGACTTTGGTCTGTATACATAGTTAGGTAGACACGAACAGGTATCCATCGACAGCAACACCACCCTTTGGTGGCAGGACAGTCCACACACTGTCCCCGAGATCAATGCTCTCAAAAGGCACATCCTCAATCAAGTTCTCAGAACCACAACCCGAGAGCGGAGCCGAAGAGGGAGTCGTCTGAGCAGGCGCGGTGATAGTGAGTGCAACGGCCGGAAGAACGCGGGCAAGCCACATGAAGTGGCTTCGGACCATCATTTTTATATAGAATCTAGCGAATTTAAACGAATGGACGGGTGAGTAAACACCACGAAAGGTCACAAGAAAACGTAAATTTAGAGGAGCAAATGATATAACGAAAAACGAGGATATCGTTGGCTTTTATCCCGGAGTCTCTCTACATGGCAATCTACCCCAAGACTCCCAAGGCTCCTAGAATTGGAAAGTAAGATGTGCTGTGGTTAAAACCTTTGTTGCCATGACATGTGGCGTTAGCGCTCCACTCCGGGGTTAATAAGCTGGCAATTTGAAGCGAGAATTGTCTCGTTTAAGACAAAGCAATTGGTTCCTGCATGAATTTCCTTGGACTAATTTAGGGATCAGGTACATATCAAATGAGCGCTTAGAATGGGGAGATTGGAGGTTGTTGTTCTTCCACTTAGGGCTTAGCATGTCTCTATTGCTAATGGGGTGAGCAGGGACTCCGGCTGTCTAGCCACGTTTAAATGCCCTTTCCAGTCAGCACTATACTTCGTGTTTCCTAAACTGGCATGGGTCTTTCAATAACTTGGTCTATTCTTGTAAATGTGCGCTATGGCCCATCGGTAACCGAGAAGTTCAAGACATGTCGAGAATTTTACATATAATGCGTTGACAGGAAAAAAAGAAAGGACATCTCAGAATCAAAGGCTGTCAACCGAACCTTGATGACAGCCTGTTTGTCTCTATATATGCCATCCAGTCCCAAAACGCCCAGAAAACATAACAGGTCGGATAGAGGGCGAATGAACGCAAACGCTGGATGTACCTAATGACATACAATGCACCCGAATGACAGAAGACAAAAGAAATGCTAAAAGACGAAAATAAAGCTCCGAAGTTCATCACATCATATATATCATACGTACCCTACGCAAGGGACGTGGGCTAGAAACAAAAGCAGAACAAGAGAGACGCATATAAACAGCCACGATCAAACAGTGCCGTATTGGCAGCGTTCTGTGCCTAACAGAGCTTGTCCCTCTTGCGGGACCGCAGATTCCCGTGAGTTCCTCCGAGGTGAAGAAGAGGGGATCCAGCCGCGCATCCAGCCGTGGACACCTCTCCAGCGACCGCGACCGCGCTTTGAGTCATCCCCATCACTGCTGATGAAACTCTCGTCGTCCTCATGCTCTTGGCCATCGCCATACATAAGAAACTGAACGCCCATGAACCCGTCCAGTCCCAATACACCAAAGGCACCCAGGAAGAACGGGGTAGCGCGTCCGATCCATTCCAATCGGTCATTGCCATGGCTATCAGCCCAGCCGCCGCCACCGTATGGGGAGAAATCGGACCAAGCATTCGGGTTTGTGAGCAACGAGCTGGAGTAGAACAGGTTCCCACAGAATGCGGCCATGAAGAGTAGTGGGGAGAGACCTTCGGTGCTCTTGCGCTGGTAGTTTTTGTATAACTGTGGAGGGCGCGAGCCGAGATACAGGATTGTTGACATCCAGGAGAAGACGCGGCCGATGATCTCGAAGATGGCCTCCCGCGGTGCCTCGGAAATCGGTGGATGAGGCTTATCGGTGGGAGCAGCGTTGACTAGTACGGCACAGAGGAGTGATGCCATGAGCACCGTCCGGGGTAGTGCGAATGGCGGGCTCTGTGCACTGCTGCCCATCCTCACGGATCGACGCGAAGAGTTCAGTTTCTCGTTTGAGTATGAGGCTGCTTGTCCACGAGTCGAGTTAAGGATTGACCCGGCGTGGAAACCCACATCCTTAGCCTCGGAGTGCTTATTATCCATGTTAACGGGAGCTGGGGTCTGATGGTCTGAGTCGCCTGGAGGAGGCACGCCTTGAATGATGTCTCGAGGAGCCGAGTCATGCGAGTGTGACGGGCTGTTGTACGAATCATTTTGGCGAGCTTTGTAATGGGTGTACCAGAAGAACTGGAATACCAGAGTGATATCAACGAGAACGTAATAACTGGCAATCACGACCTGCCACCCTGCCTGCCGGGTGTATAGCGCCCCAACGAGGTTGCTCGCATCACCAAGACACCAGATTACCAAGAAAAATATCGATAACCCTGAGGTCGATTGCACTTGGAAGTTCTTATAAATCTGGGGTAGTTGTGCGAAGAGCCATGAGGCTATACTGAGGGTCCCAAGAACGGACGAGATCGCAGCGAGAGGAGTGGGGATGCAGATATGGAGATGCGAGGAGACGGCGGTCAGGAAGGGGGAGCTCGGTTCACAGTGATCAGGAAGGGTCCCAAAAATGAGGTTCTGTAATGACGGAGGAGACATGGTCTATCGATTGGAAGTATCTTTAATAGATATAATAACTTGGTACAACAAGCCTTGAGTAGTGCTTGTAGGACCGTGGGCATCAAAGTATGGGGTAAGGACGATAAGCGATTCCGAGGCGAACGAGATAAGAGAGGATGTATACTCTAAGTCTAATAGAGTTGATAGAGCGAGTAAACTTGGAAAGAGAAAGCAATAAATAAGTGAACAAACGCAGGAACTGGAGAGAACAGCCCTGGTGGTCATTCTGAAGTGTCACGAGAGCTGAATCGCCTTATCGAGTTCATCGGGGCAGGTCGGATGACTCATGCGATAAGCATAAATGGGCGTATCAGGGCTTTCCGGGGTTGGAAATGCAGCACCCTGCATTTAGGTAACACACGCATTATGTTGTACGATGTAGGTTATGATGGCTATCATGGTGATTAATTAGTCAATATTTTATATCCATGTATGTTGTATGTATTACCCAGACTCGTCCGAGATTTTACATTACCCCATAAATGGATAACTTGGAAGTCGAAATGACACATCAGAAGCCCATATCAATAGGTAAAAATGAGCACCAGAAGAAGAAGCACCTACAAGTTCAATGAAAATCCATACGACATATAATACAACACTGTAGAGAAGGACAAGTGTGGACATGACGTAGGAAGAACCACTGTCAGTTGATCCACTCGCCTATGAGCGAATCCTGCCGCGCTATACTACCTTAAGATATTCCAACAATGTACAAAGTAGCACTTAGAAATTGCCTTAAATTGACCAAATGAAGCCTGATAGTTCTTCTTAAAAAACTTTCAGACCTTTAATGCCACCGTAAAGTGATTGATAAGACAGAAATAGACCTTAAGCTCAAGCGCTTGTACCCCCAGTTGTCCACGAGGATTGTGGCTACTAACGCTAAGCGTCGATATATATAAAAGAGACTCTAATCTCTCCTCTTGGAGCGAAATATGTAAAGATTCGACCTTGGAATATTTTCCCTCAAGGTCTTATGTAGGCTGCTTATAAGGACAGCTACCGTCGGTACTCCGTATTCTAGGTCTATCCCCCCTCCCCCCTCCTCCCACTACGTAGAGTCAAAGCATAATGTGATACTAGTCGAGTCAGGTGCAAGCGAAAGATCAAAGGAATGCAAACAGCAGCTAGCGACTCGGAAAAGAAACTATAGTGGAGCTAGTGCATATAGAGTTTGATCATCGGGGTATTATCAGGTTAGGGCATGTTGTGATGAGGTTAGTTACAGGTTAGCCTTTACACGGCAGCGTGTCCACGCCCCATATAATAGGGGCACGCCAATGAGAGTCTTGCTGGAAAACGAATGGCCCGGTCTGGTCTTGGTCGAGAACCATTTTCTTTGCTTGCCAATGTTTTGCCGTGAAGATCGACACTTTTCCTCCTGGCCGGGAATGAGCGTGCTCTGGCTAGTATTTCAGCATGTATAAGGCCTTTTGCCCATCTCTGGGTGATCTTCCTTTTATCATACTTTCATCTGCTCAAGCTGCTACACTCTTTGTGAGTTCTCTCGCGTCCACTCTTTTTTTGCTGTTATCAGCGTCCATTCTTTTATTTATCACTTTCATCAATACCAACCACGCCACTTTCTCTTAATACTTAACGTATAATTTCTACATTTATTCCGACAATATGAAGCAATCTATTATCACTTCCCTTGTGGCCCTTGCCGCTTCTTGCTCCGTAAGTGGAACCTCCACTATTTCGGATTACAATTAGACATGAAGCTAATAATCTATGTCTATGCATAGGGTGTACAGGCCACCGAGAGCTTGATCAGCCTACCCGTCGGCCTCTGTGCTAGCATCCTTGGAGATGCCGAGTGCAAGCAGCAGAGCACCACCAACGGCCTCATTAACGTCCCCGTTAACGCCTGTGTGGCTGCTCTTGGCCAGGCCAAGTGTGACCAGGCCACTTCCTCCAGCAGCGACAGCGAGTCCTTGATCAACGTTCCGATCAACGTCTGCTTGGCTGTCCTCGGCGAGGTCCACTGCAAGCAGAGCTCTGACTCCAACGGTGGCCTGATCAACATTCCTATCAACCTGTGCCTAGCTGTTCTGGGTGAGGCTGATTGCCAGGATGGATCCATGTCGTCCTCCGCAGCTTCCACCATCCCTGCTGCTACCTCTGTGATTGGATCTTCCATTCCCACTTTGGCGGCTGCCACCACTGCTCCCTGGATCGCCCCTGCTGTCACCAGTGCCCCTTCGTCCTCTGCCGTTGGTGTTTCGCCTGTGTCCCCTGTCTCTTCTAACAGCCCTCGTCCTTCCAGTGTCGCTGCTGGACGCCCCTCCTCCGCTAGAGCTTCCTCTGCTATTACCGTGACTATTACTCGCACTCAGACTGTCTGTGCCGCTACCTCGGTCTGCGCTGGTGCTACTTCCGCTGGTGCTAAGACTTCTTCCCTGCACCGTGTCACTCCTACCACTGCCGCTGGTTCTGCCACCGGTGCCTGGGTCACTGCTACTCCCAGCTCTGTTCCCTTCAACGCTGCTGGACGTTCCACCGTCTCCGGTGTTGCAGTTGTTCTCGGCGCCATCCTTGTCGCGGCTCTGCAGATCTAAGTGACGCTTTGAGCTTACGAAGGTACCTGTGACAGCAAAACTTGTTGGTGGCTATTTGTATTTTTCCCGGTGGCTTTGAGCTACTGTTGACAATTATATTTCTCTTGGTGCTAGACATATGACTCTATCTTAAATCTTACATTTCTTTTAATAATTTATACCAGACTACTTTGAGCAACCGTGGTATTATGATATATATAACATCGCCGATCAGGGATCTTAAGAAATAATTCGCGAATCGACCTTAACAGCAATCATCCCATGATTGTAATTCTCATTGAACCATTTGTCGCCTCACTTGACTAGGCAAGAATAACACCGTCCTGGATATAACCGCGCACTGATCGCCGGAACCGCATTACTTCGCGGAGGCATGATATGCCAAAAAAGTATCTGCATATAATCAGTGAGCAGAAACATAATAAAATCAGGAGGAAGTTGCGACCGTACATAGCTACCAGAATATAGGGACCCGCGATGCTTTTGTAGACAAATTCGCCCAATCCGGGATCCAAAAAGATTACAATGCGAAGATAGACTGCGATTGAAAGAATATCAAGAGAGACATTGAACAGCGGATGAAAAATGACCTCTCTGTAGAGCAGGACAAGATGAATTGAGGCCCAGACCAATGGGAGGAAATTCTAGATAATATTAGCTGCTCAAGAATTTCAGCCAGCTCGAAAAGAGGCCATTACCACAAGCTTGGCAAACCCCCACGGTGCTCCCACGATCACCAAGTAGAGGGGTGAGGGGGTGCTGGTGGCTATACACGCCACTCGCAGCAATTTTGACATTGTCCAATATTCGCCATCGAATGTCGTAGGGAAATGGATAGGCATTTGAAAGACCAAGAATGAAGGGAATAAACGGCGGATTTGGTTGAAAGATGGATGAGTCTGGAAGAGCGAATCTGGGGATTTGGGGCAGAACTGCGTTCCCATCGCAATCAACACTGCCCCTGGCCCCCTTGGCCCCCATATTGTTTTACCATATGGACCTATTCGCCTACTGGCAACTTTCGCAGAGATAACATCTATTAATAGTTTTACTATCTAAGGAAATTGGTGGTATACCCATCGGTAACTGTATAAGAGCCTCGCCGTTCACGCTTCCACTGCCCGATCAACCCGGATTTATAGTTGGCATCCATCAATTTACTAGTCTAGCGATTCACCGAACTAATTGTGCATCTCATCACAACGCGAATTAATCACAAGTCCACAGGTCTAAACTGCGCTTACATCCTACCAAACATGATGACTCGTTAGCTGCAGAAAATGCATAGACATATAATACCATACATGCGTCAACACCTGCTAGGCAGAACAAACCAGTTTTGACCTAGAAAACGCTTCGGTATTAACGGAGCGATGGTGTGCCTATCACTGGATGAGAAGGCCTTTCACCTCATAGATGTGTTGTAAATATGGTACTCCTATAGAGCAAGATATATAAGAATAGTCGGCCGCTCATGCGGCCTTTTCATTTCTTTTTGGTGGTACTTTTGGATGTACTTTTGGATATATTTTTAGGTGTTCTTTTTGGATGTATACAAAGGCAGTACAAAAAAGCATACTTTATGCAAGAGACTTTTCTATGTATAACCTTCGAACCTTTGATAACCTTTGACAAAGATAATAACAGAGTGTTCCAATACGTAGACGAAGGACGTCACAAATTAGTGACACAAATACTTGATTCACTAGGATTGACTAAGATGAAGGGATGTGATTATAAACTGGCAACTTACCGGAGAAGTGACTATATATATGGAGTCTCTAAATATCAGACATTGATCTTCCGGATTGGTGCGGGAATTGATAATATAGCTTCAGGGTGCTTGAACGGCCAGTGCGATATCAAGGCTAGGCACTTTCACTCAAATATACATCCATTGAGCTTCAATGCTAAAGATGAATTACCTTATAGTCCTATTGCCAGAATCGCCAGTTACGAGCAAGACGGGTATAAAGTGTAAGCCTAGACGTCTTGGTATGCTTGTGGCATCACGACGCAATAATGAACACACTCAAAGCACAAGTCTACGTGACCAAGTGATGCTAGGACAATTTTATTGTATTGGAGGGTATGAAGCCATCGGCGGCCATTCTTGGGTGGGTGCTTTCTTAAGTCTATTTTGGTAAATGGACAATGGCAGTCCCTGTGACACAGATTAGTTGGTGCTTTTGTGTTTGATCTACTTCAAATTAGCGTGTTTCATTCCAGTAGAATTTGTACACTTGGCAAAGCTGGTGGTACCACCTCTCCTATACTGTTACGGTCTTGTTGCCTTGCCGTCCTTATTGTCTGCGAGCTATTCAATGCCCAGGTGGTACGACCCCTCTTATTCATGTAGGTCCATTGTCATGCGGTCCATTTGCCCAATCATGCCACTCCGCACTACAAATCACGCGGCCTCAAAATGATGCAATAAGACGGGTTGATAGGCACGGAACCCCCGCAAAGACTAGGAAGGTTCTTTGGTTCGGGTAGGTCATTGGACAATGGTGTTAGCGGTCATACCATTCGTGGACAGCCTGTCGACGTATGTAAAATGAATTACATCACCACATTCCCCGCATTCTGGGGTAATATATATATAGATGAAGAGTTGACATTTCTGAATACCACGAGTTTCACTTCTACAATTCATCAATTATCACAACTACTTCTCAGATTTCCAATATGGACAACATGGACAATATGGACAAGTACAATTCCCAGTGGGTCTCGTTCCACATTCGGGACCACATCAAAGATGGCGAGATCCTAGTGCAGAATACTGTCATTGAAGGGTATTTATATGATTCCAGGAATTCACAACGCTTCTACTAACACCCGGCAGCGGCGAGTTCGCCGACCCCAACAACCGCCGCAAGTCGCTCACTGAAGAGGAGATCGACGAGATCAAGATCTCGCCCGATGGCGTCGGCGAGATCGGCGCTAGCAGCCGTCGTGGCAGCGAAGGCCGCTTGGACTTATTTCATGACAATGACAAGATTTGCGAGCTCCACTGGGAAAACCGTGGTGGAGAATACACCAACTTGGTTGAGGTGTTGGACAAGAGCGACAAGTATACCATCCAGCATGGAGGATGGAGTGCTGAGAGCGGTCCCCTGGGACATGTCTTTGTCGATGTTATGGAAAAGAAGAAATAATTGCGCTCCACAGGCTGCATCAACTCCCCACTTGGGCGTTGAAGAGCGAAATGCGTTGCGGTCCGTGGAGCATAAGTGGCAATATTTGGCGGGGAAACTTGGATGTATTATCAATACCGTAAACAAACCCGAAAATACCAAAAACAATGCAAAACTTGGAAAATCCGTGTCACCTTTCCAATATCAACCTTGGAAGCAATTTATTTGCATGGAGTAGGGAAGCAATTCCATAGAGTACCCATCGAATGACACGGCATTTTCAGGGGCGATGTTATTGATGCCAAACACGAGCAACGTCCGATCGCCGAGGAACCAGTTATATAGCTGGATTTTGGTTGAGCTGGGCTCCGGGTCCTCGTCTGGCCATTTTGTAAATATGTAATATATGCCAATGTGAAGAATTAACCCTTAAACAGGCAACTAAGAGTGCCTTTCGCGAACCAGGCCTTATCCTTTCTCCAGCCGTAGACGATCAAATCTCTTCCCAACTTCACCACCTCCTCAATTTGCTTTTGAGTGCCCCATCCAGGGACTCTACTTCCCCAGCAAACCAGGTGCACACCAACGTGGATCGCAGTTCGGAATGCCATTTCATTGTCAAGGGCCCCATATCCCTCCAAGAACCCTTGAATAATCCACACTCCACCGTCCACATTTTTGAACAGCTTTGTTTCATACAGCTCAGCAATCATTTGACCCAAGTCTAACGCGCGGCTTCCAATCTGCGACATTTCCCAATCGACAATGAACATAATTGTCGGAGATTGATCAGTGAGAGGGACGTTTGGAAGAAGAACACTAGAAATCACGTCAGTTACCTGGCTCGGTTCATAGAGTCTAGATCCAAGAGATCATACTTTCCAGTCCAAAAGTCACCGTGAATAACTCCATATCCATTATCGTGGCTCCGTTGCTCAAGCTCTGCTGCAGCGAGGTCACGAATCTTCTCGAAAATGTCACGATTTCCCTCTAGAATATCGGGGAAATTTTCAATGGTGTCCAGCAGCATAGTATAGTTCACCCAGAATTTCAAATCTTTCATGACTTTGTTCTCGCCAAGAATTTTTGTAGATTCTATTTGTTGTTCTTCAGCCGTCCAATGGTGAAACAATCTCAGCCAGGATCCAAGGGCACTGCCCAAGGCTCGCCCTGAGGATTCGGACAAGTCATGAGAAACCTTTGAGAGCAGGAAGTTCTTCAGATCAATTGAATTTGGAAGATCTTCAAACACCTGGGTATTTGTTTCCCGATTGAAGTCTAATAAGCGCGGTGTTCTGACGGTTATTTTGCCATTTGTATACATTGCCAGGCCATCGAGAGCTTGAAGAATGGCTTCCTCGAAGTGCTAATTTGAGATTAGTATAGTCCGAAGCAAGGGTCATTCAATGAGGGGGTAGCTAACACATCTTGTGACATCGATTTTAAAATCCGGGTTAGAGGCCGAGTGATCCTTGGTGTGCTTGATGACGACAGATTGGCCAGTTGAGGAAAGTGTGCCTCGATAGACAAAGTTGGCCGTGCCTCCAGACAGGCGCGTGAGCGAGGAGCATGCGAAGGGAGTGGGGGAAAGTTGCTGTGCAATTTTATCCCGTATTTGATCCCGTTCATCTGTATTTGCGGCCATATCGTATAACTCTGAGTGGAAGGTAAAAGATTTCAAGAATGCGCATTCGAGTGTTTCCTCAGGCCCAAAACGCGCTAGTACATATACGGTCCCCGCATTTACAGTGGGGACATTTAGACCCTTTTCCTTTCCGCTTTAGTCACCTTGTCTTGTGTTTGGTGATTTGGATTTGCCCCGCGGTTTAGAATCGTATTAACAATCCTTTTATGGGAGCCGTCAATTGCTAAAAGGAGCGGGGTTGACTCTCTTCCATTTAGCAGTGGTTTGTGGTTGAGTAGCAGCTCAACAGCCCTATGATGACCTCGATGGGCTGCTAACGCTAAAGGCGATGAGTGTCCTAGGAAAGAAAGGATTATCGGCCCCGAGAGCTTTTCTTTGATGCTCCACAGCATAGTCTGGGGGTGAAGAAAATCGGATAAGCAGCCCCGCTTAAGCAACTCTTCAACTAGGTCTTCCTAGCCGCAAGTAGCGCTAGCTAGGAGTAGCTGTCTATGAGTATCATCATCAGGCTCACCGTACGCGATAAAGGCCCGAAGATCTATAGACCTCTGAAGTTGACTAACTACTGCGTAGTGTTCACATTGTATAGCCCTAATCAATGGGCCTAGAGGCCGACCTGCCATAGTTGGTATCGGAGTTACCCCATACTCTAGAAGAAGCTCGACTATCTGACCTCCCTCAGCTGCCCTCAATAGCGCTTCACTGGCTGTTTGAGGAGGTTCTAGAATAGGGTTCCTCTCTAGTAAGAACCGAACAACTCCGTAATGGCCTCCGTAGGCGGCGTCAGCGAGAATACTTGACCCAGACCAGCCCTCGATATAAATATCACAGCCGAGGGAGACGAGGAGTTTGACAATCGATAGATGGCCTTGTCTTACTGCTATTGAAAGCGGTGAGATTTCAAGCCCATGGTTTCCTTCACAATGGATATCAGGAGAGACCCCGTAAGAAAGCAAAAGCCGAACAACATTTTCATGGCCACGACCAGCCGCTAGTATCAACGGGCAGCCTTCATCATCGCTCTGGGCTTCAATTAAAGGGTCTTGAAGCCAGCTTTCAGTTAAGTTTGGATTGACTCCCTGGTCTAGCAACAAACGCACAACAGCTTCGTGTCCATGTATACAAGCGAGCGCCATCGGAAGCCACTTCTCGTAGTGAGTGGCGTTAGACGAAGCTCCAGCTTCTAGTGTATATCGCGTAGTTGCTTCGTAGCCATTTTTCGCGGCCCATTCAAGAGCACTAGTGCACGTTGAATTTGTAGAGAGAATGATTGAGCAATAGGGAAAACCTTTTACATGTCTGGAGAAGTGCGTTGATGCAATATTTGTCAAGAAATTCAGCTATCAATGCCACAACCTCATTTGGCAAATCGGAAATCTGCATGATGGGTGAAGAAGGCAAACAGTTCCGGCGCAGTAGTCTGAGCTCTGTGTGGAGGAAGCTATTCCCGCCCCACAAATCATCAGTTCCTTCGAATCCCCAGTGTTGAAAACCGTCCCCGACCCCACAAACCATCGAATTGAAGCTATTCTCACATTCATTCTCTCATTACGCATAATCGTTTAATTCGGTAAAGATCATCAACTACATACCAGGAAGGTATGGATTCATGTCGTACATATCAGAACGGGGTCTTCGTGGAAGAGTATACAAGATGCTCATCAACCAGAGACTTCTCCGGACAAAAAGAAAATCAAGGAAAGAAATGCATCAAGATAAAGTGATGCCTCTAAACTGAGACCAAGTCTCGAGCAAAGGAAAGCATGCCTGTAACCCATATTCCATGACACAGGGCTAGAATTGCAGCATGATAAAAGAAAGAGGACAACGAAAGAAACCCTAAAGAAACCCTAGGCAAAAGAACACTGTCCGAAGTCAAGATCCACTCAGTATTCGTCCTCATGGCGGTGCCTTGAATGGCTGGTATGACGAGAACTATGAGAGTGCCCGCTGTGCCCGCTATGACTACTATGTCTCGAATGGCTCCGATGGCCGTGGTGGTGATGGTGATGATGGCGGTGACGGCGATGATGATCACCGTGATCATGCCCATGCCCATGCCCATGCTCATGCTCATGCTCACTATCGTCGTCATGCTTCTTGTGATCCTTCACTTTGTCCTCTATGAAGTTCCCGAGCAAAGCACCACCAATCGCACCCAGCAAGCCATGTTCCTTCTTGTGACCGAGGTAATAGCCCGCGACGCCGCCAGCGAGTGAACCCCCGAGCCCACGGTCCATACCCCGGTCAGTGTCGGTGTCTGTATCGGAGCGCTGTTCACCACTGCGCTGTGCATCTTCTGGCTCGGATACATAGACAGCGGGAGGGTGGGAACTTGCGGAGGGTGTGTACCGTGGTTGGTCGGCTGGATGGTCGTTGCTAGGGCTCAGTGTTAGTGTTAGTTCTCACAGTTGGGTATGGATCGCCCACTCACTAGTATCCTGCGTTCCCGGGGATTCTGTCTTGCGCATGTTGGTATTCTGCCGGAGTCACCGGCCCAAGGTAGTCTGGCTGCCCTGTCGGCGTATAACTTCTCTCGGTAGAGGATCCATACGGCTCGGGCACGAGGTGGTATGAACTTTGTTGTGGAGCATAGAGTTGGTTTTCGTTTGGACTGGGCTGGTAAGGCTCTGATCCGGGGTTGTATTGCTCTGATCCAGGGTTATGGTATGGCTCTTGGTTCCCGTATGGCTGCTGGAGTCCATATGTCGGGTATTGCGGCTGATCCTCTGGGGGATAGTAGCCAACCCCGCTCGGCGTAGGCGTTGAGTGCGAGTTGTAAGTGTATGGATCTGCCATGGTGAAGAAATACGTCAAATAAAACCTGTATCAAGAACAGGAACACAAAAAAGGGTTTTATGTAGCTATATGTAGCTAAGGTATGTCAGACAGATGACTTGTGGGGGGCCAATACATGGTGCGGCTGACCTGCCCACAAGACACTTGATCTTCCGGATCTTCACTAGGCTTGTAACGCACCTTCCAATCAGATATTGATCACTTGCTTCTCTGCATACAGTGAACAGGTGTGCGTTCTAATATTTCTTTATTTTTTCCTAGAAAAATATGTTCGGCAACTGATATTGTATTGAGATACGCCAGTTTGACCTGGAATGACAAGATGTGAAAGAAACAAAACTGAACACGGATGAGTCGGGGTATTCCGGTGAAAATCGAAGAAAATGATGAAAAGCATGGTGTAAATAGATTTGGCCGTTAGACGTTCAGGGTCACATCGCTCCCTAGGGCGATGGAAAAATGCAGAACAAGAGTTTGCGCCAAGCAGTGGCATCAAGACACAATCCGGAAAGGAAAAAAAAAAGTAAAGTTGAAAGGAAAGAATGATGGTCGGCCAAAAGTGATGCGCCCAGCACATTCAAAAACATCCTGGCCTTCATTGCCGTGCAAGGCGGTCCGCCTATCAACACATGGTTTTGGTTTCAAATGATTTATACACACTTGGTTACACTGGACTCTAAATGCCACGGGTCGAGGTCGAGCCGCTAGTCCGCTGTGACATCCAGTTCACAAGCATGTCGTCAAGCTGATTATTCATCTCCTTGAGTCTCTTGCTTTCCTCTTTGAAGAGACGGCCGGTGATGGGGTGGTCAGGGCCAGCGGGAGGTACATTTGATTTGTCGTGGACAATGATAAACAAGTCGCGGATGTCATTTTCTTCGTCCATGTATGATCGTAGACTGGAGTCGCTCCACGTCGGGGTGTCCACAGAAAGGGTGTCGACTGAGGCGGGAGCAGCCGCGCTACCCTTGAGGTAATTAACGTCCTGTCCGGGTGATGATGGTGGAGACGGTGGCGAGAGAGAGCGTACTTCTCGAGGAGAGGCATTATTTGTTGAGCCGCGTGCGCTCATTGGGGAATAAGCCTCCACAGGAGAAACATTGACAGGCGACTCCGACTCATCTCCAGCCACCAGCATAGGGACGAACTTCTGGGGTGGTGATGTAACGGACGCGGGTCCAGTCGTTGTGCGACCTGGATCATTGGGTCCTCTCCATTGAGTTTCACTGGATGGTCGGTCAATAGGCGACTCCAGGGGATTCATGGATTCAAGCGGAGTAACGAAGGGGTCCTTGGAAGGACTCGATTGGCTAATAGGCGATTGTAACACAATTTCACAGTCTTCGTAGCTGCTTTCTCTTTCTTCTTGCAGTGACACCTGTCGAATGCTTTTATTGCCCTGGCTCTGGTTAATGGCCTCGTTGCCCCTAGCGAACTCGGCCATCGTAGGATCGAGGACTGGATCAACCTTCATGATTCCTGGAGGCTGTTTGTGTAGCTTGTTGTTCGAGCTTTTCTGGGGCTTGGAGGGCCGCTGTTGTTCGGGGGACAAAGACTTTGATGAGATAGACTCCATTGAAGTCTTAGGTTGGGGTGATGTACGGGATGCCGAGTCTGCAAGAGATCTTTCTGGATCGTCAATGTCATCTTTGCTCTTCTTGCGCTTGAACAACCCGCTGAGCATCCCAGGTTTCTTGTCTTTTCGCTTCTTCTCCTCTTTCTCTTTGATTTTATCCTGTGAGTTAGAGCCCTTTTCGATGGATTCAAAGCTCCCACGAGGCTTCACCAAAACGTTAGCCAACTGATCTTCGGATAAACTCACGATGGGAAACATACCTCTTTCCACTCAGCCAAGGTGTTTGTGCTGTTTTCATCGCGAATATCGCGCAGGAGATTTGGTGTGAGAGAAATCTTCTTGGGCTCGGCCGTGTCGTCTTTGAAGAAGGAATCGGTGTTCCGTACAGTGCCATTTCTGGATCTACTGACGGTGGGTTCTGCTTTGAGTGAGTTCCAAATACGATCTGAGTGCAGTTTAGTTGAGTGTGTTTACCTTCGGCCTCAAAGAACTCTTCACTAGACGGGCGTCGATCGGAGTTTGAACGCTGCAAATCTTGTTTCTCTGCACCGTTGGCATCGGCATGCTCTGTGGGCGTTTCTTTCTGGGCTTTGGGCCTAAGAGGTTCCACGACAATATCCTCAGC